AACATTAAATCACGTCTATATTGTACTATGAAAACAAACACCTTTAATTTGGGTCGTGATGTGAGCGGCTTCCACAAGCACCAGAGAACACACGGGCTGCTCTGCTGCTCAGCTTCCTGCCTGCAGCAAATCCAATTTATGATCCGGCTGCCAGAGGTCAGGGGAAGCAGCCGCTCGCAGCCTTTCACTCTGCAGTTTCCTCACTTTGGAAGACAACTCGCCTCCTCCTACCTCTCACCCCTCACGGAAGCAATCTAGTGCAGGCTCTTAATGAAACCTTTTGTCCTAGCTGTTTCCTGAGTCTTGCTTGACTCTCTTTCTAACAAACACCTTAGGAATCCCAGCCTTTAAAGCTGATCAAACATCTCCTGTATGTGTCATATGAAACCCAAGTTTCAGTAGTTGGACCCGAACAAATGACCTACTGCTAAAAACATGGAACCATCAATCTGACATAACTTCTCCTTGTCCCAGACACAAACAAGGTCCTCCTCCATCCGCTCTCCTCACCATTTCTGGTCTCACCAAAAATTCCTAATCCAAAAGCATGAAACCAGTACGCAGTCTGAAGGAGTCACTGGCTCTGGGCAACTGCTCTTTGTAGGCATCTCCCCAAAGCTGCTTCCCCAGGCTTCACAACCCTCACAGTACAACACAACTACCTGCCCCAGCCAGGGAAACAATGTGAAACAGCTTCTTTAGAGGGTGGGCTTGTATTACTAGAAAGAACAGTAAGAGGATGCTACAGCAGGACTCTGCCTGTCCTTTAAGATAGAATTTCTGTTCCAGATGTGTTTTGCTCTTATCTTTCTTGTCTGACTGGCGCCAATAATGTCCTCAAACAACATAATATTTCTTCTCTTTCTTTTTAATCTGCCTCCAACTGTACATACAGTCATTGTTTTGAGTGTCAGAAAGGGTGCCCCAGCTTTCCAGCTTGAAAAGCGACTAAGTTTCAATTAAAAATAACAAACAGCTCTTCCAGCCTCCAACAGCTTGAGCCACCAAGGCGTTCCACTCATCTTCTCCTAACTGGGTAGGAGGAAACAGAATAGTAGATGTAAATGCAAAGCTCATCTATGGGATTTACTAACCACAGAAATAATGAAAAATGAGTTTTGTGATACGTACTAGAGTCTAAGCAAACAAGAATGGTTTATCATACACATTAGAAGTAGAAGCCACATACCAACACAGACCTTACTCAGCACACAGGGCTGAACAACAAGTACTGTAAGAACAGTACGAACAGATCCGTTTGCCTGCTCTTCGCGTGCTTCATTAACGAGCTGTAAAAGCTCCCACACAGTTCTGCAGCCTTGGGAAACTTCTCAATCCCAGGAACTGCAGGATTGATGAATCGTGTTCCACGCACATTTAACTCTCAAATAATACACTTCAAAAGGCTCTGTCCCGAGCAGTTCCTGGTGGTGACAAAGGGACAACAGGAGAGCAGGGGCTGCTCCTCTTGTTCTGAGGACAGGGGGGCTGCCAGGCATGTGACATCACCCCTCCTGATTGGCCAGCAGTGACATCATTTTATTATTCAGCTGGGTGCTTGCAGTTCAGCTTCCCCTTTCGGGACCTCCAGACCTCCCACAGATCCACAGGAGGGCCAGGAGCAGCTCAGCAGCGCAGCACTGCGCAGGCTTCGGCCACCTTACTCCTCAGGGCTCTTGGACACAGGGAACAGGGAGAACGAAGAGGCCCACTGCTTTCAGACTGTCTTCTAAGATGGGAGATGATGACAGCACTAGGAGGCCAGGCAGGAGTCAGAGCTGTGCGACAACGTAGCAAGAGTTAAAGCAAAACTCCAAAAGATTTGTTGCAGAAAGGATCTGAAGACTGGAAAATGGAAACCATATGCAACATAACAACAGAGACTGTGCTAACAACACCTGTTCACACACATAATTATGCATGTATACACAACACGCACACAAAGAGCACGCTGGCACCACAAAGTGATGAGAGCAGTGAGCAGCAGGCTGCTGCCCCAGCCCTAAGGAGCACAGAGCTGCCTTGCACAGCCCCACAGTGCCGGACCCCGCTCTGCATGCAGCATCCCACTGCCCACCACACCACCCTTCTGCTCCAATGTCTGAAAGCCAACACCAAGGAACTTTCATTTCTTGAGTAATTTTAGGAAAGCAGAGAATAACAGTCACTCAATATCTCCACCATTTTGAAAAATACGATCTTATGGCACACACAACTGTAGGAAAATCTATCTGGTCCACAACAAGGCCTTGGAAAAATAAACAGAGAAGTGGGTTGCTCTGCCTATTGTATGCCCACTGAAGGGTAAGTTTTCCACTTAGCATACAGGCAGGCATTAGGATGTGTTTGCACACATAAATACAAACATGCATGGATGAATTATTCATGTGCACAGAAACACACACCAACCAGACAGATCAGTTTCAAGTACAAGAATATGAACTCGAGCTCAGCGTGAACTAACATTACAGACACAGCATGGACAGTAACTTGTCTCTCACACAGCACTCACCTATTCATCTCTCAAAACATACCCACAGTATCTGCAATTCAAAAATATCTTTATGAACGATTTACACAAAATCAATTAAGCAAATACAGTGTTGCCTGGAAAGCTAGTTCCCATATTTACATAATGGATTTTCTGCACACTTCTTCCAGCACTGCATTTTTAGAACATCTTGCATAGACTACGTCTAATGGAAAAAAGCACAGCCCGAAAGGATGGCTATTCCACAAACCCTGTAGCTTGGCCCCCTGTGAACATCACAGCCAGCAGTGAGTGCAACTTCCAGGCAGGCTGCACTGTTATCTGCACACATACTGGGAAGGACAGCTTGCAGAGTGCCCCTTCTGCACAGAACATCGTACTACCTTGAGCTATCACCAACTCAAGCCAATGTAACGTGAGCTATACCTAAACTCACACACTGCATCACCACTCTAATCATCCTCTTACACGTTATGATACCACTACTTCTGGATTTTAAAAGTGCAGGTATTTCAAGGCATTCAATGTATATGCTTTTACTTTTGTAACTATCCTCAAAACCACAGAACTACATTTAAAACTGTGCCTTAATAGTTTCAGTTTTAATACATATTGCTTACTACTCCAGCACATTTTACCAAGACAGTAATTCAGACTGTGCTCCCTTAGACATAAAGAAGCTGAGAGCTTTTATGTGCAAATGAAGTAGAAATGCTGTAGAACTGCTCTAGCTCCCACTTCCAGACAATAACAAGGAAGACAAAAAGGCCTGGTGAAATTAAGCAAATAGCAAAGTGAGATTTTGTTTTGCTTACCTTGTGTGGTTTAGAATACGGCATTTCATAGTGGGTGTTTTCTGGCAACCATGATCTCAGCAATCAAAGTTCCTGTGCTACCATGTGAGAAATCACTCAAAACAGCATAACCTGTTCTCACCAGCGTGTCAGTTGGGTTAACAGGGTAAGCCCCACATGCACAGAGGATGACACAGGTACAGCTGAGTCCACCTGATCTGCAGCAGACCAAACACACTGCTATTATCACATGGGAATAGGTCATGCTCAGAGCACACGAGTCCCTGGCTCAGGAACCTTTTCCTAACTTCAGCTCAGCAGGCTGCTGTCACTAAGCTGGATCTAAAACAAACTCTTCTGTTATCACGTACTTTCCAGAATGCTTTACAAATCCTTCTGTACAAAACAGTGTTTTCACCAGCCATGGGAGCACTCATTCAACCACGTCTCACCAAAAACAACTGCAGTAAGATTCATTGTGGCAGCTGAGCATTCCTTGCAGTAGGAATGGTGTTGGAAAAATCATGTAATCACCCTATTTTCCACTAAGATGGCACTACTCAGCTCTTTTGGCAAAGGGCAAAGATTTATCCCCTGATCGGATGCAAACTTTCAAAGAATTACCAATTCAGTTACCCAGATGAGCTTTGCCTTCACACTCACTTCAGCTATAAGACTGCAGAAGTCTCCAAAGTGTTCCAGCTGACCACCACAGCTCACGATGAGCCTGCCAAACTTTCGCCCAATGAACCACCACCTACAAGCATCTACCAATACATGACTCCAGGAGGAGGACCGGAGCAGTGGTGCAGTGGGACTCCTCACTGCGCACTGAAGGCAAGAACACACAAAGCAAGGAATCACTGGACAGTCCTACAGACAGATCAAAGCAACAAACATGGACCCTCCCAAGCTCCTTCTCTCACTACACCCACGGTTGCAGGGAAAACAGAGCGGGACCCAGCATTTCTAAATGCTGCTACACAACGTACAAGGCAAAAAGCACGAAGGGCCAGAACTGAGCCCCTAAAGCAGAGCAGGGTGTATTTATTTGTGAGTCCAAACGAAGACTTGCAATGTGTGTGTTTCAGTAGCAGGACGTTCACCACAACACGGATTGAGGCGCATCCACTCCGCCCAAACGGGAAGAACAAAAGCAAGAAAGAGGACTTCAAAACAACAAGAGAGGTAAATCCAGCTTCCCCGCCCACCTTCCACAAAAAAACATCAAATATTTTCTTTCCTAAATAATTGCAATAGGATGCCGTAGCCTTTCCCAGGCACACAATAGCGAGATTGTGTAACGCTTGGGCCCGGGGGGGGGGGGTGCACACAAAGGCCGCTTTCAGGGCGCGGGGCGCTGGGCGGGCGCCGCTCCCCTCGGCTTCCCTCACACCTCCGCCCCAGGCGGCCGCCGCCGGGGTTCCTGCTGCACAGCGACGCAAACAAACAAACAAGCCCTCGTTAGCGAGCCCCTCCGGCTCCCCGCCGACCTCACACGGAGCTGCGTCCCACAGGGCCCGGCCGGAGGCCAGCGGGGCCGCAGGGCCAACGGGGCCCGCGCACCCCCGGCCGGGTCCTGCGCTCCGCCGCAGGGCGGGAAGGGCCGCGTTGGGTCCGGAGAGAAAACAAGAGCGAGATCCCCTCTGCCCGGGAGGTGTTTGGAAAGAATCGTCCGTTTGAGTTGAGAAACCCGAGAGCTGTAATTCACTTACTGATTCACCTTCCTCCTCCGTGTCAGGAATTAGAAAACAACCCGCCCCGCCAACATCAAAGCGATGATGGCGCTGCCCGGCTGCCCGCCGCCGGCCCTGCCCGCCCCTCACACTGCGGGCGGCTCCGCACCGACAGCCCGAGCGCAGGTCTGCGTGCGGACCCAGCTCCACTCCCGGCCTTGGCCTCTCCCAGACCCCGGCTGTGACCCACCTTCACGCAGCGCACACTGCGATCAGTCCCACACTGCGATCAGTCCCACACTCGCTACCACAAGGCTGAGCAGTGGGAGCACCCAGCTCTGCTGCAGGGTAACACCAGCTCCCAGAGCCGAAGGTTTAGCACAGTACTGATGTGTGACACTCTATTACTCTGTGTGAAACAAATACAGACGCACAAGCCGGATAGATGAGACCTCACAGTCTGTTCTTTACAACAGAAGATTGAGGAAAGCGACAGTGTAAGCGTGGCCGTGCACAAGGGCACAGCTACACAGCAGTCTGCCATTGCTCCAGTGATTTTGTTTGGCTTCTGAAGGGCATCAGAAAGACTGCAACAAATGCAGCAGTGCAGGTGAACTGATCTGAACCACACTTAACACGTACCAGCAGGGACTAAGGAAGCAGCAGACGGGTGACGGCCACAGCAATTAACCTGGAGTTTTTAACAAATTCATGCAAAATCCTTGCTTTGAAACTCAGGGGGAAAACAGAACAGAACGCAGAATAAAAACGGAAGGTCAAAAAACTCTTTAAGACGTTTCTGCAGATGGAGACATTGCCTCGCTTTTCTATAGATTAAAGTATAAAACAAGAAAAGTAATGGAGCTTAAACCACTAATTGCTGACCCTTCCCAGTCTCACTTGTAAAAACACGTGTGGAGACACTACAGAGCATTCTCTCAGCAGCACAGGCACCCCAGCATCCCTCTGGGCTCCACAGATCCTGGCAGTACAGCTCATGGCCACACCAAGTCACCCAACAAAGACCCAACCAAACCTGACTGCATCATGAGACAAGAATAATGAACTGCTCCATGAAAGCACTTTTTTTTTTTTTTTGTCAGAAGTAGTTCCCCCTGGCTCTCTACACATAAACGTCTATTTTTAACTTCAGACTCATTACTGATAATTTGTAGAGAGATTTAAAACACCACCCATCTACTGAGTACTAACATGTTTCCACAATCTATGTTTGTAAGAGCTTGTTTTGGGGTTACAATGATTCCATGCATTTTTCAGGTAACCCTGGTTAAAGTTAGTGCATACGTAGACATACTGACAGACACAACATCATCATGTATACATTACTGTGTGTGAAAGCGTTAAGATATAAGCAAGGTTTCTCAATGGGCTGTGCAGATAAGCGGTTTAGTTCAAAACTGCTCCACAAGTTCATCCCAGAACTGTTTCCAGCAGCCTCTGCCATAACAAGTCCCAGTCGGGCTCTGTGAGTCGCTTAGCACAGGGGAGCGGTTGGTGCTGGGAGCAGGGTGAGTGCAGGAGACCCTCAGCATACGACACCAGGATCTACTGGGGGCTTTCTTCTTTTAATACAAATGAACCCAAATTAAACAAGGTTATTTCACAAGTGATGTCCCCATTTACCAGCCATGCAATCTCCAAATATCACTTGAAGACTAAGGCTTCAGTGCCAGCATTGCCTTACCACTGGGAAAACATGCAGAGTATAAACGCTTTATACCTTAGGGGCTATAGCTATCAAATGAATAAAGGTATAGGTGTGCATAGAGAGAAATATTTTGATCTATTCCTGATACATTTTGTGAAAGTGCTTTGGAATAAGACTGACTGCACTTGAAACAGTTGACAAAGAAAACCTCAAAAAATCAGTTCTAATAACTAAGCAGATCTCTGCATTTTTTAACTGATCCAACAGCTTTTTCTTCTTACCTTTTTTTTTTTTTCTTAAACATCTTACACTTCAAAATACATGCATGAAAATCATGAGCACAGTAAGATAAATATTTATTTAACAAAACATTCAATTCCAAACACCAAATCTCAAAATCCCTAACAATTCTCAGATGCAAGGCACATCTTAGACCACCTCAGGACAGGACTTCAATCCTTTAAATGAAAGGCTGAACTCTTCCACAGATCTGGGCTTTACCAGGCCTCATATCGTGAGAACAGGCTCCCTCAAGATTCCCAAACCCAATTTCTAAATCAAAAAGATTCAGATAAGTATCTGTAAATTTGCAATGCTTATCTACTAGCTGCTTTTCAATTTGTTTCTGCCTTGATGTTTTGAAGGCCTCCACAATGAATGTTTGCCTAAAGAGAATTTCATGGCCATGCAAGTTAAGATTCCTCTGCACATGAAGGTAATTTGGAAGGAAGTCTCTGTTGTTTTTATGGAGAGCACAAGTATATTTTTGCTCTGTAAGCACAGTGCAGCCGTTCAGCAGCAACGACAAACACTTACGTATCTGCATGACCAGCAGTATGGTCACCATGAAGCGTGTCTTTAGCTCACATGGACAAGTGGATTGCCAAAAAATGAGTACATTTTCCTTTTTTTTTTTTTTTAACTTCACTTTTAGTTTAACTACTTCAGAGCTAATTTGTTAGCCTGCTATGTTGCTGTGATCTTGTAGGACGAGCAGTTAACACGCTATGTCAGAGTTTCTCTCTGTTCTCCATCAAGCACAGCGCTACCTGATGGAACAGCTTTATCCTCCCTTCAAGGTCCTGACATTCTCTTAGACCACTGCATTTTTCTTCATAACTGCAGTCTAGCTTTACTGAAGATTTCCAATAGCAATACAAAATGTTTACCCTAAAAGGGTTGATGAGCATGTTTGGTTTATCCAAATGTGGAAACACTGTTTTGCAATGCAAGGTAGCGTTTCATAATTAGATAATGAGATGCTCTTCTTGAGAGGCAGGCACCTCACTAATAAAACACTTGGGGTACAAAACCAGAAAGGCAGCACAACAGCTCCTAGACTGCTGTAGAACCAGCCTGGCAGCCTCAGGGGTTCAAAATCATTTCAGCCCAACAAACACAGTGCCAGTCGGAGAGAGGAGACCGCCTGCTGAAGCTTTATAACAGAGGGAGAAGGTAAGATACAGCAACTTCTACAAAACACCTCCTAATGACAGCCCACGCAGCCGGCACAGAGGCCAAACATATCAGCTTCCCACTCAGCAAAGCTGCCAGAACTCAGCTCAAAGCAAAATTCATATAAACCAAACAACAGTATCATATTCAGCTATCATTTGACTGCCTTCATTTTGAGAGCTGCAAGTACAACAAAGGATACTGATTTACAAAAGCAAGGGGGAATGCACTTTCCCATCCTCACATCCTTCTGATACCCTGCTCTGAAACTTCTTAGCATCAGCGAGCAGCTCTGCAGCCCTAAGAACTTGCAGCATTTCAAGATGATTGCTTCTCATCCTAAAAACAAATCGAAGCACATAACTGAAGGACCTGAATGCTCTTAACACGAACTCTGCATGCTCTCATCCTAAACACCACAAACTCTGTTAGCACCTTGCTGCACACATTCCTCTTATTCCCCCTTATTCACTGGATCATAAGACTTTACTGCAAAAATATTTCAACATGAATTAAGCATTAGTATAATACATGGGGACAATTCTGGAAACAGGGCCCTTCCAAGTTCAAATTAAATCCCTACACTAGCAGCAAGCACATGGCATTATCTCAACAGGCACACTGAACAGAACCAGGTTCTGCTAACAGTCACACTTGTGTTCTCAAGTATTAGGGGTAGCAGGTGCTTCACTCCGAGAGTTTCTAATAAAGTTTAAGATCAGGAATTAAAACTTCTTATGACCATGACAACAAACTGCTTTTATATTAGACATTGCCAGCCTTTTCCATCTGATTACATTCAATATCACCTATTTTTGATTCTGAGGAAGAGACAAGCTCATGGAACCTATTATTTCCAGTATTTTGATCTTAGGTACGCAATGTGAATGCAGCCAGAAAGTTAGATCACACTGCTCTTGCACCCAAAATACACAGAAAGATATGAGTATAAAATAAAGAGGGTGGTGCACTTAAAAACAAGCACTGCATGAATAAAAACATTACCTAAGAGCCACCTTCTCCCCTCTGGTATTTTCAAGTAAATTCTAAAAGGATTTGCAGAGTTAAAGATAAGGACCAGAAGAGAGATAACAGATGGCAATGGAAGGAAAACAGCATGTAATAATTTGATACAGTACATTCAGTACTCTCATATGCTAGGAGAAAGCCAGAGAACTTCCACACGCGTGTTGCTTGGTTCCCAATTTATGAACAGCAGCATCATCAAGGGCTCAGCATATAATATTTAGTTTTCTATCTACTGGCCTCTGTTTTTGCACCAGCAAAAAAAAAGAAGCAAATATCTAGGATCCTGTCACCCAGCCTGTATCTGGAGAGTTGAAACATGAAGACACCTTGCATCCAAACAACCAGGCCACTGACAAAAACACAGACAGGCAAAGCTGTTAGTCGTCATCTGTGTGTTTGGATTGTGGAGCAAGGAGACAAGGGAGACAAGAGTGCCATAAACTTTTAGTGAAAACAAAATTCATTTGTAAACAGAACTGCTTCAAGATCATTCTACAGGAGCAAATACCTAAACAGTACTGAACAGCTATGTGAACAGTACCATCCAAGGTTGCTGGAGCACTCTGCATTGCCTTTTCCAGAAGTTCACTCCATGGAGTTTAGTCTTCCTGTGGAGCCAGGCTGCTCAAATCATGATAAGCACCCCACCTCTGACCATGAGACGTCAAATCCCCAGCACACAACTACAACAATTTGAGAAGGACAAACTGCAAGGTTATCATGGACAGGGTCAGTTTTACCCAAACAGGTCACTCTCAACGGTGAGCAATTACAATTCTGATCCATGTCTAAGCTCAGTTTTTTTTCCATAGAGAACACGGGGGCACAGAGACAAGTCACAAAAGTCTAACAAGCAAAATAAGAAAAATGGACAGCAGAACTGTAAGAGCCTGGTCTGCATTGTAGTTTTGACCCCTCACAAAAACACCTAAGTATATCCGGGGTCATTTCCAAAAGCCCTCTAGATTACCTGGTATAATAAAAGCTACATATATTTATAGATAGAGAGATAGCTACCTGTCTACAAGGAACCCTTGAGCACAATGATAGCCAGTTCTCACTTGTATTTTGGTTCTGTTTGACCAGTTGCACCCACACAGGCGTTGCTGGCCAAAAAATACAGCTGTGTAGAAAGCCCATAAAGGAGAACAGTTAATTTGTAATTACCTCCAAGGCACAGATTCCAGCATGAAGAAACACAGAAGGGACACGTTTTGCTTTGGTATTCTAATTTACTTTCAAAAATGTCTTCAAGTCACAATTAAAAAATGTCTGCAGTAGCTTAGAAACAATTAGAACCCTGAACAATCAATAATGGCACCATCCAGCAACACCTTATTTATCAGCCCAGCTGCAAAATCTCTGCTCCAAACATACATGAGCGAGGACAAATGGGTGCCATGCAGAAGGTTCTGTGCTACAGCAAGTTGGTGAGATGAGCAGAGATGCAAATAAAATGTTCTTTATGGTCAAAAAACCAAGCTGAGCTGGACACACTACAGTAAGCGTGTATGCTGCAAGGGGAAAAAATACACAAAGATCACAGCAGTGTTTTAAAATAAAATGCAGTCAAGATGTCCTAAAGAGTATCTTTTTCCTAAATGGGTGAACTGACAACTGCATGCAAGCCAGTAGTTCACACACAATTTTAATGAGGTCAGAGTTCCATGGATGCACACCAGGACTGAGCTCACAGCCAGCCCTGACCCCTGCCGTGTGCTCTGTCCCTGACAAGGACCAGCCCATGAGCCCACTCCACAGGCTCATTTTCAATCTTTTTTCTTATGCTTAAGTTCCTCAAATGGAAATCACGTAGCAAGCACAGAATAGAGGATTAGCTCATACTAGATTATAAAGAAAGATTAGAAAATCTGGGATTTCCCCCATCTCCTTTGAGCATTCTTTTAGATTACCGTGGCCAACAAATGAATTTAATTTCAAGGAAAATAACCACAAAATGAAGTATACATTTTCCAAATAACTAAAATACACTGACAATTGTCTAATAAAATATTAATATGAAAAATATATTAAAAAAATAAGAGGTATTTTCCTTTTTTGTTTCAGCTCAGTTTCCCTAAATAGCTTACAAAACCCCCAAAGAACATGTCTGAAACTGCAAAGCAACCAACACAACCTTCCACACTTCCCAAATTGTAGTCCCTAGTGTGCAATGAGGTAGAGACCAGAGAAGCAGAAAGGAGTGCTATCAGCAGAGGGCTCTGAACTGGAGGGCAACCACAGAGCCCTGCCTGGAGCTAATTCTCTCCAGCTCAGCGCTGCTAAGTGCATCCACCTGCGATCGGCACAGTTCTGCGTCCGCTCACTTAACCTCAGCAGGAAGAGCTCACTTATGTGGTGCAAGATGAGCTCTTTCCTACACTTTCTTCAAGAGTTTTATAAAACTGGCACGGTGACAGGCCTTGCACATTTCCAAATATTAAAAATAGCAAGGCAAGAATTTACAAGCAGTGGTATTGCTGAGGACAACTCACAGAACATCTACCTCCCAAAGTGCATTTTTGTTGTTTTTTTCCAAGACAGGTCCACAAGAGATCTCAAGTTCAAGCATCAAGAATATCTGTCTCCTCAACTTACCCAGGATAAGCCAGCAACCCCATAAAATACCTAAGTAGCTTATAAGTTGAGCACCCCACCAACACAAGGCAATACAGAAGCACAGAGAGAAGGAAAGTGAGAAGATCCATGCAGAAGAGATGTCCTAAGCACATTAATGTCTTCACTGTTTTTAGAAATCTTAAGTAAAAATCAGACCCCCAAAACTCCCCAAAACATTTACAGCAGGACTTTGGAGATGCTTGTGAACCACACCGGGGTCACACAAACACATCTGTAGCCTGTACTTGAGTGGAACTTAAGTATTGATATGGCTGACCCTCTGAAAAAGATATAAACGTGTCCACATGCAAGACTGGGGTGGAGAAACAGTTATGTATTTGTCTGATCCTATCACCCAGAAGTTTTCTGCCCATCCAAGATGCAAGCTTATCAACTCCTGTGCTCATGTTATGCCCCAAATACTTAATTCCTCATATGAAAACTGATTTCTGCAGAATATTCCATTATTTGCGCAAAAACTAATGTAAGCTTCAGAACTCTCTCGTAGCAACCTGAAGTCATGCTCCAGTTCCCTTTAGCCACTCTTTCATGGCCCACAAGCTTCCCAAGTCATCTGAGCTTACTCATTCCCAAGAGCCATGGGTCTGTTTTAGCAGGCATTGAGTCACAGAGATGCCCTTCACTACAATTCCAAAAAGGATTTGGGTCTTTGGGAATGAGATTACTTTGTTCTATATCTTTAAAATATATGGCTGCTCACTTCTGGAAGAAGCCAGAAGTATCTGCCCAGAATTTGCTCCAAAGAGCAGCCTACCTGCCTAGCTTCACATCAACATTTGGAGCTCCACAGCATTCATTTTCACATGGTAAAATGCCCACCACGTTCACAATTTGAAATACCTTTTAACCAGAAAAAAAGCAAGATGAAGCCGCTCTCCTCGCACCAACAATTCATTCCCCTTAGATACAGTTCTCAAAGGACCACATAAAAAACAGGAAATTAGCTTCCCTCACCATACTTCCCAACCTTTTCATCAGTTTCCCATATCCAGCCAAAAAAGCCTTTTAAAGAGTTCTTCTGAAGTCACAAGCCAGCTTTGAGATCCCACTCAAAGATGTTAGTGACATCTTCCCCATTGAAAAACCCGTCCACTCTACACATATTACACACACCTAGGAAGTTATCATGCACTCAGCACAAGGTTAAATGAATGAAACCTTAGCAAGTTCTCAGATGATCAAAATAGCAACTTTTTTGGAAATAACAATACAGAGGGTTTTTTTTTGTTTTTACAGCAGTGTGCACTATCCTTCACTTAATGATGAGCATGGTGCTGTTCAGGATGCACATCAGCACCACCACCTTACCAATATCTGGCATCAAAACTCCTGTGGCCAACAAACCAACACCGCAGGGGATGTGACTTATAAAGACTGCCATCTAGACTAGGCAAATAAACTCACAGGTGAGCTGTTTTGGTCTGTTTCCATATCACAGCAGTTCTCATGAGAGCTTAAAAACAAGCAAACAAAAAGTGCTTTTTGTAGTAAAAATGTAAAAGTGACTGTTTTAAGACTTAGGCAGGAAGAACAACTACTAATGCTGTAGCTTTGCAAGCAAAGGGAAGAGCACAGTACTGCAGCAAGGCAGCACATATCTGACCAGACTGATGCTCTTGAGAATTTTATGAGATCATTGGCTTAGTGAGCTTAACTGAGGAGACATCTTTGATTTCAGAACTTGTGATCTCTTGTGCACCCAGACTGGTTTTTTGTTTTTTAAACCAAATTTGGGAGGTAGGTGGTTTGTGAGTCACCATCAGCACATCACTACTTGTAGCATGTCCACACAAAAAAAGTTTAACCTGCACATCAAATTAAAAGGGGATACAGCAGCAGCTTTAGAAAACTTACCGTTGGTAATTAGGTTTCAAGTCCTAAACAGCCTCCACTGTTATAGCTCAAACAAGAAGCTTTAACTGAGTTGTCCATCTCTTTCTGTTCCTGTTTTGATAGAGGCTCAATTATGCTCAAGACAATGCCTGTCTCTTCATTTTGCTGTGAATAGGAAGCAAGGCTGCCATTGTCACCCGCTTCAATGCAGTTACAACAAAGGGGCCTGAAGTGCCCAAAATAAAGGGCTACCTAGAGTAGCTGGTAGGAGGATGGAGGGGACTAAGTGCTGCAGTCCCCTTGCCTAGCACATCCTGTGCCCCAGACTACTGCACCATTTGTTGCTGTGTTTTAAGTAAGCACAACTGGGAGCCTCGTCCTTCACAGTGTGCAGGGTGGGTGCTGGGGGGCAGGGGAAGGGATGCAGGAAGGCAGAAAGGAAGTAAATGACATAGCAGACTACAGAGAAAGAAATGAATACATTTTGTTCTTAAAAATAATAGGACAGGATGTTATTAAAATACAGCATCGGTCACTCTGGGATGGTGAGGTGTGAATGAAACCCGGCCCCAGCAGGTTTGGAGCAGAAATCCCCTCCTCCCCTTCTGGTGCCTCATTCATAAATGGCTGCTGAGGAGCTCCAGCTGCAGCCGTCCCAGCGCATCTGCTGACAGCCAGAGGCAGCAGCCCGGCCTGCCCTTGGGCTCAGGACCTGCTGGCCATCGCCGCTTCTCTCTCCTCTCCAACGCCTGCTGCTCACTCTGAGCTGGGCACGGTGGCAGCCTTGTTTACCGCGAGCGCCGGAGGATTCCGCAGGCTGGGCTGCACGCTGCTGCTGCCAGCCCCTCTCAAAGGCCGCCTTTGTGCTCCTCGTGGGCAGCGTGCTGCGGAGACCCTATGGATGGAGTGTGCACAGAAACACGGGGCAGGAGAACCAAATAGGATGGGACTGAGGGAAGAAATCAGCACCTCCAATTCTGCATGCTTAAATGAGAAGTTTTTCCCAGCTAATGTGCACGTATAGCTCAATCCATTGGTTCCCACTGTTGTTTTCATGCTATGCGCAGCTCGGATTTCCTCCACTACATTTTAATTCGACAGAATAAGACTCAAGCATGCCATAACCATATCAGTGTGAATAAATCCCTGGCAGTAGTGTTTTACAAAGGCAGCTTCCAAAATAATAAGAAAAGAGAAATTGAACTGGACAATGTGCTTAGGATCAAGAAAGATACAGGGAAGAGGGTGAAGAGCCCACCTGTGATGCTCTGTGTTTGCGCAGATGTACCACTGCTAGTATGAGGAATGATAAACACCCTCCTCTCACAAATATGTCTTTTTTTTTTAAATAAGCTTTGTCAAAAACTCGGGTGTTTACCCAAAACCTGAGTAACTAATAATATCTGGTAAAGGGGCCAAGGCCTGACCGAGGACTTGTCTCATTATCAGACAATAAACTGACTGATTGTAACTGTCACCATCAGCGCGAGTTCCCCATTTCTGACTCTCCTGCTAAACAAACCTCAATTCCTGCTGAACAATGACCAATTCTCCAGCTGAACAATAAATCAGGAAGTTCAAATCCACTTCTTACAAAGTGATTTAATAAAGGACTTATTTTACAGCCAACTTCCCAAGATAAGTAACGCACAGAAGAAAGCGGTTCCTTATTCCCAAGTTAGAATAACTGGACAATGCAAAAGATGACAAATAATTCTCTTCCATTCTCCTCTACATCCGAAGGGGCCCACAGCCAACATCGTGCAATTGAGAGCAGCTCACAGGCAGGAAAAGAAAGCCTGCCCTGCTCTCATTTGTTCATTTTACACTAAGAAGAAAGGAAGGATCATATTCACACTACAGGAAAAATAACCCATGTGCATTGCAGAACTGACCCCAAATGCCAGCTATGTCTTATCACTGAAGCTATTTTCTCTCCAGACCAGAGAAAGGGAAAAAAAAAAAAGGCCCTGAGTAAACACAAGTTGGAACTTACAGACAGATTAAAGGAGCAGATAATTCAGTGGTATTTCATACAATCCTGCTCGCCCATCAGAATGCCCACAGAAGGCTGTGAGATGATGCAAGATCCTCAGCAGTGAGCCATCAGCTCTCATGCATTTCAGGAGAAAACCAAGTTTCCAAACTCCCAAGCAATTGTTGCCACATCTGACCCACCCAGATGTGCCCATCTACCAAAACAAAGCAGTAAGACATTAATGCTCAGTCCAAGACATATCTTAATCAGCAATGTCTCATTAAAAAGTTACTTAGAAAATAAAGGAAATGTGCCCCTACCCCACCCACACCACTTCTCAGGTTCCAGTCCTGCCATGCCACAGCCCCGAAGACAGCATTTCCCTGCAGGCATGCCCTCTGAAAAGCAGGCATAGCGTTATCAAACAAACCACAGCTGGCATCTCT